AAAATAAAATATGATCCAGCAATCTTACTATTAAGTGTATATCCAAAACAAATAAAATTAGTATGTTGAAGAAATATCTTCACCCCCGTGTTTATTGCAGTACAGTTCACAACAGACAAGATATGGAATCAACCTACACCAACAGATGAATGGATAAAGAAAATGTGGCATTTTTTTATATGAAAGTGTAAGAATAGTATGCACAGTGGAATACTATTCATCCTTAATAAAGAAGGAAATCCTGTCATTTGTGACAACATGGATGAACCTGGAGGACATTATGTTAAGTGAACTAAGGGAGACACAGAAAGACAAATACTGCCTGATCTCACTCACATGCGGAATCTAGAGAGCTGATCTCATGGCAGTAGAGGGTGAAATAGTGGCTATAGGGGCTGGGAGAGGGTAGGGGAGGAGGATGTAGAAAGACTGGTCGATGGGTACAAAGTTACAGTTAGATGCGTGAAATACGTTCTGCTGTTCAGGTGCTCAGTAAGGTGAAAATGGCCAGCAATATTGTATTGCATATTTCAAAATAGCTAGAAAAGAGAATTTTGAATTTTCTCATCACAAAGAAATGAGAAATATATGAAGTGATATACCCTGATTTCATCATTGCTCAGTGTATGCATGTATCAAAACATCACATGGTACTTCATAAATATATATAATTATTATGTGTTAATCAAAAATGAAAAAATGAAAATAAATAAAAATAGTAAATAACGAAGGAAGCTGTCAGTTATGGAAACCAGGGATCCAATCCAGCTGGCTAAGGTGGGGTTAGGAAATCACAGATTCAATTTGTCATCAGATGTAGAGGACGTCCAGTTCACACCAGATCAGACTGACCACCCCTACCATACACAGATGCCTTAAGGTTCATGTACAAGATGCCTGCTACCTTATATCATATTTTCTTAGCTATAGAAAATTGTGCACTATGTATTTTCTAGATTTTAAGCACTGAAGGCACGATTTCAGTGAAAATCTAAGCTTGAGATAAACTAATACAAGAATGACTTATTTCTCTCTGTTCTAAAAAAAAAGCAAAATAACACATTTTGCACCTACACTGTGTAGATTCGTATATTTTTCTTTCTGTTATTTTACATTCATTGAATCCTCTATTTTGGAATAAGCAACTCTCCATTTTTGTATATTCTGGGGATTTCCTAGCCATGCTCCTGTTTATTTTCTCTCTGATGTAATCTTAATATCTACTCTTGATATTTCCATCATTTTACTATGCCTAAGCTCAGTGGAAATGCGGATGGACTTTAGTTGTTTTTAAACTATGCTATAGTACTCTTCTGTCATGCCCACCAAGGAGAAGAAAAGGGAACGGATTTTACTGATCAAAAATATAGAAAGATTTTTACTGTTTGGATTAAATTAACTAAATTCACCAGTTATGTCTCAGTGAAGGAATCCCAGTCTGCAGAGATATGAACGGTGTTATTTGTTGCCCCACTTCAGAGACAGGCTGTGCAGAGCAGGTTAGAGCTGTGCATGTGCAAGTCTCCTGGGGAAGAACTGCCAGCTCTGGGACTCATCAAACTGCACCTTCCTCCTTCAATCTCCGAGGGGTAATTAGCATGTTTTTTGTCTCTCATGTGCTCCAGCTCTCCTAGTGGAGCTGACTTTTGTACCAGGAGGAAAAAGAAGGCAAAGTCATCTTTTATTTGCTTGAAAGCATAGGACTAACAAATTGAAGATTTTGAGTAATTTCTCTGGCCAGTTTTATTCAAGAAATGATATTTCATCATTTTATTTTTGTACAACTGCTAGGTTGATTGATCCAACCAAGCTATCAAATTACTTTATTTTTTTGTTGTCAGAAACTATAGGAGAATTAGGAATATATTTGTGTAAATAAAAATTAAATAACAGGATAGATTTCTAGCTCAAATTTACCCAGTGAATTTTTGGAGCTGAATTTCTAATGTATTAATTAAGGTAGCAATGCACGTGCTGACACTCCCCTTTCAAATCCAGAAAAAATCAAAGTCAATAATTCATAGTTTTTATCACAGCCTGTGTTGTTATATCCCATAAGCTGCTCTATGGAAGAGACTCAGGAGCCATTTGAACCTGAATTCTACTGGTCTTATGATAACGAAGTAGAGAAATGAGGAAATGCTGTTCCGTAACTTCTAATATGGGGATGGTTAAGCCTTGCTTGGCTGGTTATAGCAAATATTTCTTGGAAAAAAGAGGACTAAATGGTGTTTCAGCATTTATAGAAATTATGAATTAATTTGGTTTTGGTCAAAAGGAGCTGATAAGAACATTTCCTATGGGAAATGCAAAAGCAAACAAGCAAAAAGACCCTTCAGGTTTCCTCATTTTTCTGCCACAGGCAGAAGAAAAAAATACAACTATACAACACACAGCAGTAGGACTGATTGCCACTGTAATTTCTGCCTCTGAACCTCCCAATGTATCCCGAAACAATCCGTGGGGAATTCGAAGAACCCCAGAGCATCAAGATCCCTATAGTTTCAGGTTGTCTTTGCACTGTCTGCTAGGATTCTCCCTGGAGGCATCTTCTGATGTCACCTCCATAAAAACCATCTCTTCAGGAGAGTTGAGGGTTTTTTGGAGTTAAATAGGAAAGGGTGAGGCTAGGGGCTTCCTGTCTTCTCTTCCTCCCATGGGTCTGTCCCCTGCCTTATGACATTGGAGAGAGTCTCTCACAATTCCCCAGCTTCAGAGTGGACCTACTTTGGTCACAAGACCAAGAGGACAAAGGACAGTCAGAAATCACAGAGCAGAGTGGTTTGCTGGAGTTAGAACATTTTTTTCCTGTTTTTTTAATCTGACAACTTTAGCTTCTTTGACTCTGTACTTAAGATACTTGGCAACATGCTGCCAAAAATAGTGAGTAAGGGTAGGCATTTTGTGTTCCTTCTGACACTTTTCTCGCTTCTTAGTTTGTGCATTAGCTTGGTAAGGTACAATCTTTTCTTGGATCCTCCAGAGTGCACAGATATACAAGAATAGAGAGAAGCAGCATTTCTGTTTGTGGGAGTAAAACCATAGGACAAGAGCAGGGATGATGCAAAGTGGGGCGAGGTAAGTGCCGGGTACGTGGATAAAGGGAGTTTGGAAACACTTAGCTTTGGAGAGCAGTAACTGGTGGACAGAAGATACCTAGGGCATTGGTGAGGGTTAAAGGTGAGCTGGTGTACATCGTAGGGCTCTTGGAAACCAGGCTAAGGTGTTTGGGGATTGCTCAATAGGTGAGTAAAGAAACACAATCATTTATAGAAGAGACTGAAAATTCAGAAGAGTGACTGAAGATTACTAACAAAGATAAGGGAAGTTGAGGAGGGGGAGAAACAGGAAGAAAAGGACATTGGACATAAAGCCAAGGCCAGGGGCGACGTACGTGCAGCCAGTAGAGATGCGCGCTGTGATTAGACAGGAAGTGGGTGACATTCCCCAGCGCACATTATCAGCCCTACCCTCTGTCATTCTGCAATGGTTATACTCCCTGGAAAATGAAAGATTCTGTGTCTTCAAGGCTTTCCTTGTTTAATATTAGTACTGTAATATGGAGTTGAACTAAAATCCTGCTTTATATAAGATAATAAATTTCAGATATTAAAAAATTGACTCAAGTTAATTCAGAAAAAAATAATATTCACCTTAACCTCTACAAGATTTAAAGGTAGTGTTTTATTGGCTGGAATCTGATCCACTACTACCTGGATAATGGGTCAAGTCTCAGAAAAAGGTGACTTATAGCCAAATGACACAAAACATGGGAAACCAGAAGAAAGCAAAGATTGCTCCAGTGTGGAGATGACGGGCAGTGATAAGAAAGAAAAGAGGCACAAAAGAGCAATTTCCCCACTTTTGCCATAGCCTTACCCTTCACTAGGGTTTTGGGAAACACTCAGGTATATTGGAGTGGTTATTTCACTTAAAGTGTGTCCTGCATTTGCATAGCAACATTTTATCTAACTTTTCCCAAGTTTTAAAAATCTGGTTTAAAAAATCCTTCCTCTAGATCTAGTGAAGTTCTCCTACCGCACACAGGCCAAATATCAGGTATTAGAGTTAACGATGATCCTGACCATAGTCTATTTCTTCAAAACCTGGATGTGGGAAGGAGATTGGGGGTAGTTCAAGAAGAGTTTGATTGCCAAGGTACTGTGTGGCCGTAGGTAATGTACTGTGTGTGGGCGTGGCTAGGTTAGATTCCAAGTGTCTGAAAAATTGCACGTAGAGGACAACAGAAATTACCGTCTGTGACAGTGTCCAACAGGTGGACAAGGTCACATCCGTTTCTGGTGATTAAAGGTCATAGAGACACAGAGAACCCAATATGTGCTCTTGTAAGTCTGATTTTGGGGGGAGAAGTTTAAAACAAGTTGATCTTTCCCAAAATTAGTGACTGCCAGTAGTTATCAACCATTTCTGTCCACCTCTGGGTACATTCACAAAATTCATTCCCGGGAAAGAAGAGGAAGTGAATCTAATCCTAGGATGGTAGCCCAACATTCTCCCTGGGGGTGAGGTACAGTGCAAATATTTAAACAAGTTTTGGCGTGTTCACATGTAGCTTAGTTCAAGGGATTTAGGAGATAGAGGAAGAATACAGAAATGTTCTATTTTAACAATTATTTTCTTAAATTTTGGAACATATTTTTATATTAAAAATATTATCCATTTTTATGAAAATGTTCCCTGAACATTGTGGACTTACTTTATTTACTTTTTATTTCCCATTAATATGTTTCTACTTTTAATTTTGACCAAAATCTTTGTTCCTTTTTTAAATATTTAGGTTTTGTGTTTTGTTTTGAATAACTTTCTCACTCCCCAATTTTTCTATCCAATTCTATTATTAATGTATTAAGCTATGTACACACACATACACATATTTTAATGAGAAGTGTCAAATATTGTTAGTATGATAGGAGTACAGAGTGGCTGTGAATTACTTTTTTTTCCTTCAATTTTCCATTCTCCTGAGGTACAACAGAGAGATGGGTGGAACCAATGACAGCTCCCCAAACCATTTCATCCTTGTGGGTTTCTCTGACCATCCCTGTCTGGAGAGGATCCTCTTCGTGGCCCTCTTGATAGCCTACCTCCTCACCCTGCTGGGAAACACCATGATCATCCTGGTGTCCCAGTGGGACCCCCACCTGCACACCCCCATGTACTTCTTCCTCACCCACCTCTCCTTCCTGGACCTCAGTTTCACCACCAGCTCCATCCCGCAGCTGCTCTACAACCTTAATGGACATGACAAGACCATCAGCTACGCGGGCTGCACCATCCAGCTCTTCCTGTTCCTGGGGCTGGGTGGTGTGGAGTGCCTGCTCCTGGCTGTCATGGCGTATGACCGGTTTGTTGCCGTCTGCAGGCCCCTACACTACATGATTGTTATGCATCCACAGCTCTGTTTGGGTTTAGTGTCCCTTGCTTGGGGCTGTGGGGTGGCTAACTCTTTGATTATGTCTCCAATGACCTTGTGGTTACCCCGTTGTGGGTACCACAAGGTGGACCACTTCCTGTGTGAGATGCCGGCCCTGATCCGGATGGCTTGTGTCAACACAGCTGCCATCGAAGGCATTGCCTTTATTCTCGCAGTGGGTATTGTGCTGTCACCCTTGGTGTTTATTTTGGTCTCTTATGGCTACATTGTGAGGGCTGTGTTAAGTATTCAGTCCTCCTCAGGAAGGCACAAAGTCTTCAACACCTGTGGCTCCCATCTCACCGTGGTCTCGCTTTTCTATGGAAACATCATCTACATGTACATGCAACCAGGAACCAGCTCGTCCAAGGACCACGGCAAGTTTCTCACCCTCTTTTACAACATGGTCACCCCTCTGCTGAACCCGCTGATCTACACCCTCAGAAACAAAGAGGTGAAGGGGGCATTGAGAAGATTGATTCTGGGAAATCTAACTTTTGGAAAGACATTATAATGAAAGGAAAAAATAGGAATTCCTTCTTACGTTAAAATCTTACAAAACTTGGGATGTTTATCCCTTATCTTGTATCACCAGCACCTGTCAGAATTTGGACAGAACTATTCACAGTGTTCTGGCCCATTCTTAGTTTGTGTGTGTGCACGCACATGTGTGTGTGTGTGTGTGTGTGTGTGTGTGTGTGTGACAGAGAGAATCATGCAGGTGTACATCAATGCTGATATTCAATACTTCACAATGTAAGGTCTGTTGACCATGGCTGATGCGCAGATATCTAGGTTGTTCATGTATTGTTCTACAGATGTAAAGCCATGTTTTCTAGTCAGTCTAGAAAAGTAAAAGAGTAAGAGGGAAATGGGATTTCTTTTGCCCAGACTTTCTTAAATGTTTAACCACCACTGAGCACATTGAGTATTTCATTCTAATTATCCATTTTTAAAAATCTTGATAAAATGCTATCAGCATGGATGAGAACTTACATCCCATTTCCATTGTTCTATATCAAAAACAATAACAAGAAACCTTCTCTTAGTACAATGTGGCCATTATTCCTTTTCATCTACTTATTCATTCAACAAAAGTTATTGAGTGACTTTTCTGTTTCATGCACTGTTCTAGGTGCTAAAGTTAAACATCTGACCAAAATTGACAAGCTCCCTGAATTTGTGAAATTTATCCAAATTTCACAATTTACTTAAATTGTGAAATTTACTTGGTAAGTAAATATGAGTAGAAAGTGGTGATTCATTTCCAAAATGACTATTCATAATACCTTCCATTCTATGCATACATGCTGTTCTTTCTATTAAGGTAAGTCCTTTGACCCTTTGATCTGATCTGGCCACATGACTTGCTTTAGACAACAGAATGTGACAAATGTCATGTTTTACCAGTTCTCAACCCAGATCACCATAAGCTTGGTGTATGCTTCTGTTCTCTTACATGTAAAGAAGCTCAGAGCAGGCTGCTGAATGGTGAGAGACCACAGGAAGACAAGTACATCCTGAAAGACCCCAATCATTCTGGCCTCCAGCAATGTGAATGAAGCCATCCAGCCAGAGTCAAACACCTAGAAATGCAGCCTCTCAAGTGACACTTAACAGGCAGAACACTGAGCAGAGATGAGCCATTCTGGCTAAGCCCTGTCCAAATTGCAGACTCATGAACAGCAACAGAAATATTGTAGTTCTTTTAAGTCACTGTGTTTTTGAGGGATTTGTTATGCAGCAACACATATGAGTCAGCAAGTGACACAGAAGGGAAATCAGGAGATTGTTCTTTCTGTAAAACAAGCTAAAAATGGGGCTATCAAATGTTTGGAATGCTTCTAAGAAACGGACAAGAGAGAGCATGTAAGTGACCCTGAGATTTGCCAGCTTAGAGGTGTCAGTGACTTGATAATCATTTCAAAGGATCACTTGAGAATGAAATCCCAGTGGAGTGTGATAATTAGAAGGGAGATGAGAAAGTAAAGATTTTGCATATAAAACATTCTGTGGCACGAAAAGGAAATAGATAAATGAGGCATGGCTTAGTGGAGACCGGGATATTTTGTTTAATTTTTAAGAATGGGATATGCTAAATGTGTTTGTAAATTGAAGCAAATGTTTCAATGGAGAGGAAGGGTCTGTTGATGCCAGATGTAGGGTCCAAGATTAGTACTGAGGCCTTTAAATGGCCAGATTTGGTGATCATTTCAGTAGGAACCAGGACATTTCCCAGTTGTGTATATGAACAGATACAGAAGATTATTTGTGTTCATGGAGATAATATCTGGAGTCCTTGACTGTTTCTATTTCCTCACTGCAGTGTAAGAATTAGTCACAAGTTAAAATGTAGCAAGAGGGACAATGGAGGTAGATGAATTAGGTGGAGATCTGAAGAATGAGGAGAAAGTAAAACATACTCTTGAACTGGAAAATTGATCTATTTTGTAGGCCTAAGTCTATTTCTTGCTATTTTTGCCTGTCTTTTTGCATTTATGGGTATGCATTTAAAATTAAACACATTAGCACATTTCATGGGTTTTTCTCTGGAGTTATGAAGCTTCTCATGTGCTGGTGAACTGTTAGAAGATCGTGAAGTTCTTCCAGGTGCGGGGATTTGCCAAATGTGTATGACTGAAGACAAATCATATCTCCATTTACAGTTAGAAATGGGAAATTATGTTAATCTTGCTTGCAAATGACACAACACGGGATTGGAATTCCTGGAGTGATCAAAACATGGCCACTGTGAAGGTATTGGAGTGATTTCTGATGCCATAACAGAGAAACAGAACAGAAATGGATCAGAAAAATTGAAAGCATGTTATTTTATGATATAACAAGACGTTAGGACAGGGTAATCCATGTTGCTTCCAGGTCCTGCCTGGCACCCTCAGAATCCTTTTATGCTTATGCCTCATGTTTCTCCACGGTCATCAGAAGGCTACTGAAACCCCAGATGACCAACAGCATCACAGGCAAAAAGAATGAGAAGGAACAAAATGGCCGATGGATGTTGATGCCTGAATCACTCCCTTCACAGTACTTTCTGGCAAACTCTCCCATTTAAATCTCATTGGTCATCTCTATCTGAAAGGACCTCTGGAAAAGTTAATTATTTTAATAAAACCTACCCAGGTCCCATAAAATAAAATCATTTCATTAATAACGATGATGTTTCTGCCACAAAGTCATTTGTCACATACTGGTATATTAGAAGTCCATTCTGGGAGGGAGAATTTACTGGCAATGAGTTCTAGTGCAACGGTCCTCGATTGGTTTCACTTTGCGGAGGACATACAAAAACTGATGGTGGAGCCCTACGCCAGACTGATTTAATATATATCTCTGGGAGGTGGGTCTGGATTACAGTTCTGTGTAGCCAGAATTTTAATCCAGGTCCAGAATATCATTGTACGGTTTCTCATCTGTGGAGGATGGAAGAAAAAATAATGGAGTTGAGCAAGTCAGGGATCAGAAAGCCCAGGGTTCTAGATGGATCGGTTATAAGGAGGGTGAAGTCTCCAAGAAAAGGAATATGGATGTGATGTACAAAATATCTTGAAGTAAAAGAAGGGGGCTGGAGTGGTGTATAGTGATGGTGCTTCAATGGAGCTATTGGCTTCTGATGCTTGAGGAGGTCAATGAGAAAAACAAAAGTGTAGCATTTACATAGTGCTTACTCATCTAAGTGCTCTGCAGCTTTTAGTTTCTGTAATCCTCACAACCATACTATGAAGTGGTATTGTTACCATCTTCATTTTGCACATGTGGAGCTAGGGCACAGAGTCTCTAAGCAACATGGCCAAGATTAGGTAGGTACTATGTGATTGAGTTGGAATTAATTCTTAACTGGTCCGGTTCCAAATTACTTGATCTTAACCTCTATAATGTACTTCTCTTTCAGGAACTAAGTTAGATGGGATACGGGGGAACAAAAACAAACCTCTAAGTCAGAAGAAAGCAGAAGACATGGTGCCCAGGTCACAGATGCCTTGATTTTATTAATCTTTGGAGATTATGATAGCCTGAATAAGATAAACTATAAACAATACAAATATCCTACTCAGTATTGGGGCTCCTTGTTGCCTGTCTAGGAGACAGGTGGGTAAGTGTTATTGTCTTGCATTTGTTTTGAGGAAATGGTGGTGATAATACTATGACCTGGATTAAAAAAAAAATCAAGAACTTACTCAATTATACAGTTAGATAATCTTTTTTTTCTTTCTTTTTTTTTTTTATTTCAGCATGTTATGGGGGTACAGATGATTAGGTTACGTATGATACCCTTACCCTCCCTCCCCCCCAGGTCCGAGCTTCAAGTGTGTCCATTTCGGACATCTTTTCCTTCTTCGGGTCTGTTAATAGTTTTCTTCATCATTAAAGTAAAATACTTACCATCCATCTCATTTTATAGGCTTTAGTTTTGGGGCATGCTAGTACATACGATATTTTATTATCATTGCAACTATGTATAATGTTTAATTATTTACATTTTAAAAATAAAATTTTGGCTCAGAGACAATTAATTACCCAATTTCAAGCAATGAGAGTTGGGCTTGGCTTTTTTCTTCCACTTTTCAATTCGGTAATCTTTCCATCAAATTGATACCATGTATTGAAAATGGCTTTGAAATTTAAAGAAAGTGCTACAGTAATACAAATATAGGGATTTGCATTATCTTGAGATAATCTTGAGATTATCTTGAGTTCTCCATGAGATCAAAGATAAAGGAATAGAACACCTTAAAACTCTTCTCTCAGGGGTTATCTCTTGAAACCTCCATCAGAGATGGCATACTCATTAGATGAACCATAACATTGGTCCAATATGACAATGTATTTTAAAACATATAGTGAGTTTTTTATAAGTGCCCAAACATGATTTCACTAAGCTGGTGTTTTGTTTTATATAATCAAATTTATGAACCCAGTCACTGTTAAGATAAGTCACCTTACCTCTCTCTCTTTCTTTTTTAAAATTTTCATACCATCACAAATCTGGTTAACCATGGGACAGAAATAGAATCTGAAGACTTTCTCCTACTAATACTTCTCTAATATTTCTTTCATTCTACCAAAGTAGAACTGTTAACCTTTAGGACATTACATCAACACACACATGCCCTTACCAGTGACTTTCATTGATTTCAAGTGTTAATATGCACCCATTCTGCATGTCGTTAAGTAAAAACTCTTGCCACTTGATGTAGAATATACCTCTAGATTCCATTCCATTCTCTGGCCCTTCAAAATTTGGAGGATTAGAGATCTCATAAAGATATGACTTCAGAGTGTTCTCAGTCACTTTGATAAATTGAACTAATGGCTTTATTGAAGAAACACTTTGAGGATAATTTTAGAAAACTTTAGATGATTCATACAAGTAAAACACTGAACAGCAGGATTTGTCTGGTATGATGTGTGGTTCTCTGTTTGAGTCTCTCATCTTCCTGATGCAGCATGGCATGTGATGCTCAGAATGTTCACTCTGATGACAGAATTTTGTGA